GGTTACAATTAGGTGCAATTTATATACAATATTATGTAAAAAGAAAAGGTCGTTGTCTCTTCATTTTCCCTCCCAGAGTAGACACTGACAGCTTCACTTGCACTTGGCATAACATTTTATTTATGTATTTTACTTATGTGTTATTCTCTATTCTCATTAATGTTCTCTGTGCCCAGAGATATTATAATGGAAAATATAAGGAAACTTTCAGAGAAGAAGAGTCAATTATTTTAATTTATTTTGTCATTCAGAATAATTTCCCATGTAAATAAGTACTAAATTAATTTTTTGCCTGCATGACTTAGATCATTAAATAAGACATGGAGCGAGCTCTTAAAATAAATGTTAAAAATAAATTTTTCTCAAGTCATCTGCCCTCTCCCCCCAACACTACTGCCTTTTTTCCATCACAAACACTCAAAAACTCAATTACATGGCCCCCAAATCCCCCATTATACCCTGCTATAGTTTGGTTTGTCTCCACCAAAATGAACATTGAAATTCTATCCCCAGTGTGGTGGAGTTGGGGGTCCTAGTGGGAGGAGTTTTGGTCATGGAGGCAGATAGCTCACGAATGCCTCAGTGCTGTTCTCATGGTGGTGGGTGTGTACTAGCTATGGTAACACTGGGTTCATTCTCATGGAGATGAATTGATCCTGTGACAGTGGGTTGTTACAAAGCCAGGACACATCTTGGGTTTCATCTTTTCACATGTCTGCTTCCACTTTGACCTTCTCCATGACATTATGGCTCAGCAAGAAATCCCTCGCCAGAAGCCAAGGCCATTCCCTTAAACTTCCCAGCCTGCAGAACCAAGAGTGAAATAAACCCCTTTTCTTTATAAATTACCTAGCCTCAAGTATTCTGTTATAACAACACAAAAGTCAAGACAGACCCTTTGTAATTAGTACCACATGTCACCTATCACGTGTCTCCTTGTCCATTTCCACTGGCACTGCCTTATTCTACGCATTTGTACCCTCAATTGGATCATCTGAATTGTGTAAGAGGTGATCTTCCTAACTCTATGCTATACCTATCCAGATCCAACGTATTTGCTACTTTCAGTCTATTATTTCATAAATATCATTTTAACCAGGTCATTTCTTTGCTGCATAGCTTTCTATGTCCTCCCAATGAAGGCTGATATCATACTAAGTCATTGTTTCATGAGCTCTGTGTTGTTTCATTGCTACCCACTTTAATTTCTAAATTCCCCAATATATTCCTTTCCTTCTAATCCAAGTAATAGTCTATCCATACAGAAACTCCCTGTGTCCACTTACACTTCTGGGATCTCTTCTGCTTGTTCCACCTGGAAGTCCTCCTTCCTCCCTGACTGCTCTCCCCAGCCTGCCCATTTACCCAGCCTCAGCTCGTCACAATTTCTCCATGTCTCCTTTAATATTCCCTGTTGATTTCCATCTTCAAATTCTTTCAGTGCCCAGAGTTTGCAGCACAAAATTCAGCATACAAGATCCCTTATATTATTTGGGTTTGTTTCATGTATATTGCTCATGTTTCTGAAACTCAAATGTAAACTGCAATCATAGAGACCTTGTTTTATATTTTATTTCACATGATACCTGACACAGTGGTGACCACAAAGAAAGTATGAAAACAACCTTTTGATTGGTAGTGAAACACAATGAATTTAGTATAAAATAAAATTACTGCCAGTACTTGAAGCTCTGCTTTCTAGCTATGTCCTCCTTAAATATCAAATTTAAATCAGTCTAGTTTTCAGAATCCTAGGAAACCTGGCTCCATGTCATCTGCCATGAAGCAATGGCTCAAATCCGAATGAGAATAATACATTTTAACATCTGATTCAGATTCTGAGTTCTTCTCCATCCAAACACCTGCCATCCTTCTCAATTATTTCAGTATTCACATCAGAGATGCATTCCATATCCTAGTTGACTGGAAATTGACTTCATCAGTTCCAAAGTCTTCCTCCTCCCTACTCTACCCATCTACATCCAAGGTCACACCTTTGACTTCATTATTCAGTGAAAGTTTTCTATCTTCAAAATAATATTTCAGGTATTCCTCAACATAGCCTTCTATCTTTATAGCTTCCTTGCTTAATTAATTCCACTATATTCACCTTTGTTCTCCTGAGGGCTCTCACCCACTAGTTCATAATATCTTACCAAATTGCCCTTTGGTAATCATTTTTCCCCTTATCCATCTGTTATGTGATCAATTTTGCCCCTCAAAAGTTCATATGTTGAAGTTCCAAACCCCAGTGCCTCAGAATGTGACTGTATTTGGAAATAGGGTATTTAAAGAGTTGATTAATTTAAAATACAGCTATCGTCTCCGCCGGGACGCGGGAGAGCCAGGCGCGGGCAGGGGCGGCCAATGCGAGACTGGCTGGTGCTGCTGTGCCCGTGTGTGTGTGTGTGTGTGTGTGTGTGTGTGTGTGTGTGCGCTCGGCCGCTGCACCTCTGGCTGCGGCTGCGCTCCCCGCCGCCCGCTCGCGCCTCCGGGGCGGCCCCGCAGATCAGCTGGCCTTATTTCCTCAGTGGAAGCTCCTCACTATGATGTGGTAGTTGGTGTGTTGTCAGCTCGCAATAACCATGAACTTCGAAATGTGGTAAGAAGTACCTGGCTGAAGCATTTGATACAAATCCTGCATTAAGTCAACGTGTGCTTGTGAAGTTCATAATAGGTGCTCATGGCTGTGACGTGCCTGTGGAAGACAGGGAGGATCCTTATTCCTGCAAGCTACTCAACATCATGAATCCAGTTTTAAATCAGGAAATTGAGGCATTCAGTCTTTCTGAAGACACTTCCTCAGGGCTCTCTGAGGACCGAGTTGTCAGCGTGAGTTTCCGAGTTCTCTACCCGATCGTTATTACCAGTCTTGGAGTTTTCTATGATGCCAATGATGTGGGTTTCCAAAGGAACATCACTGTCAAGCTTTATGAGGCAGAAGAGAGGAGGCCCTCTTCATTGCTCGCTTTAGTCCTCCGAGCTGTGGTGTACAAGTGAACAAGCTGTGGTACAAGCCTGTGGAACAGTTCATCTTACCGGAGAGCTTTGAAGGTACAATCGTGTGGGAGAGCCAGGACCTCCACAGCCTTGTGTCAAGAAATCTTCACAAAGTGGCAGTGAATGATGGAGGGGGAGTTTTCAGAGTCATTACAATTGAAAAGGGTACATTGCCTCATGAATTCATGGAAGGTGTGGAGGGAGTCGCAGGTGGCTTTATATATACTATTCAGGAAGGTGATGCTCTTTTACACAACCTTCATTCTCGCCCCCGAAGACTTATTGATCATCAAAGTAATCTCCATGAGGAAGATGCCTTACTGAAGGAGGAAAGCAGCACCTATGATGATATTGTTTTTGTGGATGTCGTCGACACTTATCGAAATGTTCCTGCAAAATTATTGAACTTTTATAGATGGACTGTGGAAACAGCTTCGATTTGTTGCTAAAGACAGATGACGACTGTTATATAGACGTAGGAGCTGTATTTAATAGAATGCCAAAAGAATCTGAATGGGCCTAATTTTCGGTGGGAAATTTCAGATTGAACTGGGCAGTTGACCGAACGGGAAAGTGGCAGGAGTTGGAGTACCCCAGTCCTGCTTACCCTGCCTTTGCGTGTGGGTCAGGGTAGTGATCTCCAGAGACGTCGTCGACTGGCTGGCCAGCAACTCGGGAAGATTAAAGACCTATCAGGGTGAAGACGTAAGCATGGGCATTTGGATGGCAGCCATAGGACCTAAAAGATACCAGGACAGCCTGTGGCTGTGTGAGAAAACTTGCGAGACAGGAATGTTGTCTTCCCCTCAGTATTCTCCACAGGAACTGACAGAACTGTGGGAACTGAAGGAATTATGTGGTTATCCTTGTCAGTGTGAAGCAAGATGACAGTGATCTGAAGTGGCAGTGTTTAAAATCAGGGTAGGCGAATGATAATCTGAGTGTAAGTCCGAAGGAAGCCCAAGGTTTAGCAGTATGGTCTTTCCAGGAGCATGGGCTGGCACTTTCACCTGTAACCAATGTGGATTTCTTAATGTTTGACACAATTTCCTTTTTAAAAGTCAACTGATACTGTAGCATAAGAAAGTTTTATTTATATATTAGATGATTTGAAAAATACCAAATTATTTTACAAAGGAAAATATTTCTAAATCCTGATGCATTGTTTCTATCATTTTTGGTTAAAACTTGGCCTAGCTCAGAAATCTTGGTTAGTAACCGAGAGTTTGAATTTCTAGCTGGATTGCTATGTAATTATTGGCTAAAAAGAAATCACAGAAGTGTTGTGTGATCATTTATTTAAGCATTGATTGCTTATACCAAAGTTTGGGGTTTCTGGAAATAATGTCAGATTTTTGTGGCTCTCTGAATGAAATGGGCAACTGGACCTTGGTTTTAAGGAAGTTCACATTTATAGAGTATTACTCAAGTTTTCTTTTGTCATTTAACATAAATCCTGAAGCTCACAGTTTAGTATTCAAAGAAAAAGCTAAATTTTTGTGAATATGAATAAAAAGCAAATATCTCTCAGGGTTTTAGTGCCATAAGGAAGGATATTTCTAAATTTCTGACACTTTGAAAGAATTTTGTTTTCCTTCTATCATTGCATAATGTTTACCTAATATAAGTAAATTTCAATCAGAGTGGTCATCTTCTGTAGAAGATGATATGCTCAGTTTAGGTATAACTGTAGGGAAAAGCATGTGATTAATTTTTTAAGTACTCTAAAATAGTACAACTGAGAAGAGATAATAGCATTTATGTTATACATCATAGAGGATCTCTTTCTCTAAGTTTAAGGGACATTTCCCAAAATGACCAACCAAATCATTCTAGTAACCTTTTGAAATAGTAGCATCGATAGAGAATTCCATTAAAACTAGTTTTATGACAGACATTAACTGTGTTCAGTTAGAGTAGCTAGTTGCTATTTAATATTTCAATCTTTACATAATGAAATGCAATGAACTGTAAAAATATGAACTAAAATCAGAAAAGCATTAGTAGGTTCAAGGCCTTTATTACTGCTATTATATATACAAGCCTAGAAATGGTCTCTTCCCAACAAAAAATACATCCTTTATTATACTTAGGGCAAGTTGTAAAACTTCATTTTTTGGCAGAATTGTTCCAAAAAATCATTTATTTCCGGTGAACCCCAGACATGATAAGCAGTCTAGTCTCTAAATTTTATTAGCTGGTTGTTACCATCTCGCTAACAGACAATCTCCATTTTCCACAGAATAAAATTGTAATGACTGTAGGTCATTTTCTAGTTCAATTTCTCTGCCTGGCATCTGAAATTAGAACAAAGGTGGGGAGAGGTGTGATTAAGACAGATCTGACAAAGCATTGTTCTACGTACTCTCCCCCAAGCAGCAGGTTCCCTTACAAGACAGTATATAGCAAGCATATATGGTCTCCATTTAGAATCAAACTGTGGTTTTACAGAGAAATTTAAGTCATATGTGGGGAAGTAAGCTGACTTTATATTTTGCTGGGCAACTTACTTTGGGACTTTCATAGGCCAACAGAAGGTCTGACACAGGGACTTTGAGAAGACGTGACAGCAACCCCTTCACCTTTTGAATTGTCATGGAGTCTGTCAAAGAAAAGAAAAATCCATCAGTTCTCTCAAATGACAGTTATCTGTAAAACTTGCTCACATGACATGCAATGGTAGCTATATCTGATTTCATATCATATTATCCAAGTATGTAATTAGGGAAAAACTTGAATCATTTGGGGAACCGTGGGAAATGGACGTTTGACCTAAGTGCCCTTTGACAGTGAATTTTCATACCATTTCAGTAGCATATTTCTTCATTCAAATAAATCAAAATATTCTTAGCACAGAAGCATAAATGGGAGTGAAATCATTTAAGTTTTCATTTTAACCGGTGATTACTCTCCTAGGAATTAATGAGAGAACACTGGAGTGGGCTCAAGTGTCCTAGAGACGTCTTTCAATCTCCTGGCCTTAGTGTCCCCCTCTGCAAAGCGAGGGTGTAGACTAAATGATCTATAATGTTCTTTCCAGCACTACTGTTCTGTAACTATAATAGCTTAAAATTATAATGTGTAATTGTGTTCAACACACAGACAAGTGACCGCCAGGCACAGGAATGTAACTTAAAGAGTAAATGCTTTGGTTTGTTCAGAAAACACTATGAACTTCTTTCCAAAGATGGGTTGTGGTTAATAGTGGATATTTTGATTATGAGAAAAAGAGTTTCTTTGAAGCTTTAGCTGGAAGTACAGCAATAGTGTAGTGTTCCTACAAATATCACAATGTATTCAAACAAATATTCTATCAGAAATCATTTTTGTAAAAGCGTGTGTTTTTATGCAATTGTATAATAAATGTTATCTTTATTTTAGAATAAACACTGCTTTTTCTTGTTTATTAAAATAAATAAATAAAATAAAATACAGCTATCAGGTGAACCCTAATCCAAGGTGATTAGTGTCCTTAAAGGAAGAGGAAATTGGGACACACAGAAAGACACCAGGAACACATGCACACACATGAGCACAAAGGGAGAAGGCAGCCATGTGTAAACCAAGGAGAGTCCTTAGAAGCAACCAACCCTGATGACATCTATATCTTGGACTTCAAGCTTCTGGAACTATGAGAAAATAAATTTCTGTTGTGTAAGCCACCCAGTCTATGGTATTTTGATCTAGACACCAAGCAAACTAATGCACCATCTTAGATCAGTGCCCCATCATTTCACCTTATCTTTGCCAATATGCTCTACTCCCTTGGCCCTTCATACTGTAGGGTTCAGCTAAACCCTGAAAACGTTTCACAGTGCAAGCCAGAGCATGCTGATTCTAGGCTCTCTGTGTTGCCTGGGGAGGTGTGGTTGTTCCAGGCATGGCTGGACACACCAGGAGCTGTACTCCAGGAGAGGCACTCCCACTTCCCTGCCACTTGCCCTTTTTACAGTGACTTTGAGATCACCCAATCAATGAATAACACATGGAAGTTTCCTGAGCGTGAAAGTGCTCTTGACAGTAGATATGGCAGCTGGTTTTGAGTTGCTCAGGAGAACTTCATGCTGCTGCTGCTGCTGCTAACACCAGAAAGACATTTCAGCTGGTTGAAATTCTGCGAAGTCCCAAGTGGGGTTGAGAAAGGCGCTGGGCTCACTTAACTTGTCGCCAGGCAACCAAGTGACTCAACAGACTATTTGGTTTTATCTCTCCTCATTTTCACTGCAAATGGCCAGCAAAACTTCATTCTTGAATGAACATATGCATCTTCTCCATGACTGTAATAGGCATCTGAGTTTCGTTGTAGGAAAGAAAAAGAAAAGAAAAAGGTGTAGTCTAGAGTCAGGAAGATCAACTACTAGACGAATTAGATGATCCAGAATTGAGGGTCCAAGCATTAGAGTAAGCCAGTGGCAGTAGGATGCATAGGGAGACACACTATGGGTGACATGGGTGGGACATAGTGACTAATTGCATGGGGTATGTCTTGTCCATTTTCTGTTGCTATAACACTGCACAAATTGATACTTACCATAAATTCTCAGGTATAAATCTGCATAAAGATGTTGGCAGTGACTACAAAGCTCATTATTATTCTCTAGCCATCTCATATTCACCAACAGCATATTTCTTGCCCCTTACCTAATAAAAAAAATGGAAGCCATAGAACAAGAACAAACAGTATTCTGTACCAGCAGACTGGACATGGTCTACCCTTCCCCCCTCTTTATATCTGAAGTGACTCTGCTCCTGTGAAAGCCCCTCCACCTGGGACCTGGATGCTACCCTTTCCACCTGGCATTATCTACTTCCCCTCAGCTATAGCAGCTTCAAGTGCTCTATCAAGTTCTCCTGACTTTTTCAAATTAGTGCTTAAATAGGCTCGTTTTCATTTTTAATCAAGGCATAATTCACATAATATAAAATTCACCATTTTAAAGTACACAATTCAGAAATGTATAGTATACTCACCATGTTTTGAAAACATCACCAGATAATCCAGAATATTTCCCTCCCTAAAAAAGAAACCACATACTGCTCAGCAATCAGTCTTAACTCCCCCACTTTTCCCCTGGCAACCACTAATCTACTTTCTGTTTCTATGGATCTGTCTATTCTTGATGTTTCATATAAGTGCATTTCATACAATATGTGGCCTTTTTTGTCTAGCTTTGTTCATTTAGCATAAAGTTTTTAAGATTCGACCATGAATGTGTCAGTACTCCACACATTCTTAAGGCTGAGTAATATTCACTGTATGGATGTACCACATCTGCTTACCCTTTCATCAGTTAACGAACATTTGGGTTGTTTCTACATTTTGCCCATTATAAATAATGCTACTATCAATATTCATGTACACATTTTTATGTACACATATGTTTTCAATTCTCTTTTATATACCCACGAGTAAAATTACTGGGTCATATGGTAATTCAACATTTCACATTTGAGGAACTGCCAGACTGTTTCAAAGAGACAGCACAAGTTTATCTTCTCATTAACAATACATGAGGGCTCCAAGTTCTCCACATCCTCACTAACACTTTCAATTAGCTGTCATCTTAGCTATCCTGGTGGATAAGAAGTGGTATCTTGTTTTGGTTTTGATTTGTACTTTCCTGATGGCTAATGATGTTGAACATCATTTCATGTGCATATTGGCTATAATATATAGTATATAATATTTGGAGAACTATCTATTCAAAATCTTTACTAATTTTTAATTGCATTGTCTTTTTGTTGTTGAGCTGTTGGAGTTCTTTATGTATTCTGGAGACTAGATTTTATCAGATATATGATTTGTAAACATGTTTCCTCATTCTGTGAGCAGATGTTCTCTTTATTTACAGAGTACTTTAGTGCACAAAAGTGGTTTATTTTGATAAGGTCCAAATTTATCTACTTTTTTCTTTGATTGCTTATGCTTTTGATGTCATATCCTAATCCAAGTTTGTCAATTTTATGGATCTTTTCAAATAAACAATTTTTGATTTTATTGATTTTCTTTGTCGTTTTTCTGTTCTTTATTTTCTTTATTTCTACCCTAATCTTTATTATTTCTTTCCTTCTCCTTTCTTTGGGTTTGTGTTTGGCTTGCTCTTCTCGTTTCTTGAAGTGGAAGTTTAGTATATTCATTTGAGATATTTCTATTTTTTCAATGTGGGCATTTGTAGCTATAAATTTCCCTGTAAGCATAGTTTTCCCTGCATCCTGTAAGTTTTGCTATGTTGTGTTTTTATTTCATTCATCTCATTTCCTTTTTGATTTTTTTCTTTGATCCATTATTTTATAGGAATATGTTTTTAAATTTCCACATATTTGTGAATTTTTCAAATTCCCTTTTGTTGTTAATTTGTAATTTAATTCCTTTGTGGTTAGATAACAGACTTTCTATGATTTCAATATTTTTAAATTTATTGAAACTTATTTTATGGCTTTAAATATGGACTATCTTAGGGAATGTTCCATGTACATTTAAGAGGAATGTGTATTTTACTATTGTGGTTCTATGGATGCTTGTTGTTATTCAGTGTTGTTCAAGTCTCCTAGGTCCCTGCCTATCTTCTGTCTTATTTATTAATCTCTTATTGAATGTGGACCATTGACATCTTCAACTAATATTTTTTACATTGTCTATTTTTTTTCAAATTTGTCAGTTTTTGCTTCCTGTATTTTGGGGCTCCTTTGTAATCTGCATATATGTTTATGATTTTTGTATCCTCTTAGATAGACCCTGCAGCACCAGTTTGAGGTCTTTTACAGCTACAGTGTTTATCTAATCTGTGGCTAGTATAATTCTGTCATTATGCAAAACAGGCAGACACTAAATGGCTAAAAATATGCTTATTTGAAGCTGTATTGAAAATAATCGGATCCATAAAAGTTTGAGTTTGGTTCCAGTGGGGTTTTAAGCTAACAGTTCCCAGTTTATTGTGAAGAGATAAACACAGGGCCAATAGACAAGGCCATCTTTAGTTCACTTATATAACAATATAGAAATTTTTGTCTACATTTATTTTTTGCTTTCAATACATTGAATGTGTCATTCCACTGACTTTTGGCTTCCATGGTTTTTGATAGAAATCATTTGTTAACCCTATTGAGAATCCTTTGGACGTGATGAAGCAATTCTTACTCTCTGCTTTCAAGATCCTCTTTGTCTTTTGACAACTAGATTATGACATGTCTCAGTGTGAGTCTCTTTGAATTTATCCTACTTGGAGTTCATTGAGCTTCTTGAATGGTTAGATTAATGTTTGTCCTTAAATTTGAGAAGGTTTTGGCCACTATTTTTTCAAATATTCTTTCTTCCCTTTCTCTCTCATTTTTCCTTCTGAGATTCCCATTATATATATGCTTTTATTCTTGATGGTGTTCGATAGTTCCTTGAAACTATGTTCATTTTTCTGCATTCCTTTTTCTTTCTGTTCCTGGGACTGGATAATTTCAATTGGCCTATCTCCAAGTTCTGATTCTTTTGTCTGTCTGTTTGAATGTGAATTTTTTGTACTTTTCAACTCCAGAATTTCCATTTTGTTCCTTTTTATATTTTCTATCTCTTTATTGATATTTCTCTATTTGGTGAGACGTTGCTATTCTTTTTTTCCTTCAGTTCATCAGACATGGTTTCCTATGTCTCATTTTTTTTTAATTTCCAAGAATTTAAGGAGTACAAGTGTTTTGTTGTT